GGAGAGAGAGGGAGTGAGATACAGAGATGGGAGAGAGGGAGGGAGGGAGAGACAAGAGAGAGATCCTAGGGAGAGATGGTAGAGAGAGAAGGTAGAGAGAGACGGGAGAGCGAGCGACAGGGGAGAGAGAGACAGGAGAGAGGGAGAAGGGAGAGAGACAGGAGGGAGACATGGGAGAGAGAAGGGGAGAGAGAGAGAGGGAGAAAGATGGAAGAGAGAGATGATAGAGAGAGAGAGAGGGAGAGACACACAGATGGTGGAGAGACAGGAGGGAGGGAGAGACAGAGACAGGAGAGAGAGATCGTAGGGAGAGATGGTAGAGAGACAGGAGGGAGAGATGGGAGAGAGAGGGAGACGGAGAGAGACACAGATGGTAGAGAGAGACAGGAGAAAGAGGGGGAGAGATGGTAGGGAGGGAGCGACAGAGACAGGGGAGAGAGAGAGGGAGACAGGAGAGAGCGACAGAGACAGGAGAGATGGGAGAGAGGGACATGGGAGAGCGGAGGAGAGAGACACAGAGACAGGAGAAATGGCAGAGAGAGCGAGACAGGAGAGAGAGAGACAGGAGGGAGACACAGGAGAGAGAGACAGGGGAGAGGGAGAAGGGAGAGAGACAGAGATGGGAGAGACAGGAGAGGGAGACAGGAGAGTGATAGAGAGACAGAGATGAGAGACAGGAGGGAGACACGGTAGAGGGGTAGAGAGAGAGGGAGACAGGAGAGAGGGAGCGACAGAAACAGGAGAGAGAGCAAGAGATGGTAGAGAGAGACAGGAGAGAGACGGGAGAGAGATGGAGAGACACAGACAGGAGGGAGAGATAGGAGAGAGGGAGATGGGGAGAGACGGAGAGAGACGGGAGAGTGATAGATGGTAGAGAGAGATGATAGACAGAGACAGAAGAGAGACAGGAGGGAGGGAGAGACAGGAGAGACGGGAGAGAGAGATGGTGGAGAGACAGGAGGGAGAGATGGAGAGACAGGAGGGAGGGAGAGACAGGAGGGAGAGAGAGAGATGGGAGAGAGAGGAGACGGGAGGGAGAGACAGGGAGACAGGTGAGAGGTGGGAGAGAGAGAGACAGAGACAGAGGGAGACAGGAAGAAAGACAGACAGGAGAGAGAGAGACAGAAGGGAGGGACAGGAGAGAAAGAGGGCTGGAGACAGACGGGAGAGATGGGAGAGAGACACATAGACAGAGACATGAGAGAGGGAGAGAGATGGGGAGAGTGGGAGAGAGACAGGAGAGGGGAGAGAGAGAGCACCGAGACAGGTGCGGGAAGAGAACCAGAGAGATGGAGAAGTGAAGTCAGAAGGAGGCACCGAGATGTGGGGAGAGAGATGCAGAGACACCTAGAATGATGCAGGTGGAAAGATTTTGTGAGACATGCAGAAAGCGAAAGACAGACACCCAGAGAGACATGGATTGACAGGCAGAGAGATACCCAGGGAAAGACAGAGACAGGTGGAGAGAACCAGAAATTGGGAGAGAGCAGGGAGAGATGCAAAGAGACCTAGATAGAGAGATACAGGAAGAGAGACACTGAGATATGGGCAGACAGATGCAAAGACCTACAGGCAGAGAGAGACATGTGGTACAAGAGATAGGAAGGCATAGATGGAGAAAGAGACAGGTACAGAGAAAGGGAGACAGGGCAGAGACACCCAGTGATGTGGAGAAAGATGCAGAGACACAATGAGAGAAAGACAGTGAGGCAAACACAGAGAAGTATAGAGACCTGTGGAGAGAGATGCAAACAGAGACACATCCAGAGACGCAGAGACAGGCTAAGTGTAGAGAGAAACAGATGCCAAGAGAGGGAAAGGAGCACAGAGACCCAGTGATTGAGACAGGCAGAAAGACACCCAGAGAGGTAGAGAGAGAGACCCAGAGAGGCAGACACACCTACTAGGATAGAAAGGAAAAGAGAAGCAGAGAGAGATGGGCAGAGACACACACAGAGAGAAAAGGAGGCAGAGAGACCCAGGGAAAGACCCATAGCAAATGTCCAGTTAGGAACACACAGAGACAGGGAGATGACAGGCACAGAACAGACTGTAGATGCCAAGGGTCAGAGTGGGCGCGTGGAGACACAGGACAGCGAGAAAGCCCGAAGACGAAAAAGAGCGATTAGGAACATACAAACAAATCAGAGAAAGGAGACACTGATGAAAGAGGAACATGAGATGGAAAGATAAAGACAGCAATGAGGAGCCAGGAACAAATACGTGGAGACGACAGGGAAAGACAGAAGTAGGTGGCAGAGGGGGCAGAATGAGACACTGAGAAGGGGAGAGTCAGATGGAGACACAAGTGACCAAGATGGGCATAGGCGGTGAGAAATCATCAGAAGTGGGGGTGTTAGGGGGCGGGGAATAGACAACAGACGGATAATGCAGTGTTAGAGATGGAGAAACAGACACACACACGAGACGGAGATAATGTCAAAGCAGAAGGATGGGGCAGGGAGGGACACCGTGACAGAGATGAGGTCGCAACAGAGGCCAGGGGTTCAGAAAGCAAAAGACACATGCATGAGACTCAGAAATGACGACAGAAGGTGACACCGAGAGACAAGAGGGACAGAGAAACAGATGAGAGATACACACAGGTAGAGATGAGTGAGGGAAGCAGGAGATGGGCAAGAAAGTAAAGAGACAGCAAGAGGAGACACAGGACACAGAAAGGAAGGATAAGGGACAGATGGAGAGACAGAGGGACATGGTGAGAGCCAGAGCAAAGAGTCAGTATAGAGAAACACACTGGCAAGAAGGCGGAGAAGACACAGAATAGATACTCCACATCACCTACTAGCTCAGGGGAGGGAAAAGTTGACATTTTCATGCGTAATTATGTTCTTGTATCCATCTCAGTGCCAAAAGCCATGTGGTTTTATTTCACATTGCAGTTGAAAGACCCATCGCAAATACTGAGTCTAAGACAGCCATACGTTGCTTGCTGAAATAAATGCAGTTTGAATATTAGCTGCTTCTCAGCACACAGAGGTAAAACCAAAAGCCAGGAAGGTGTTTAAACCCCATCACTGAGCAAAGAGCCCAGTACCTCTTTACCACAGATCTACACTGCGCAGTGGTCTAACAGTGTCTGCTCTGTCCAGACCTCACATCCAAAACATCTATTTCTATATTGTTTCAGAAGATCTGTTTTGTTGCCAGCAGAGAGAGAAGCTCTCATTTCCACATGCAACACATTGTGCAGCAGGGGGAAGACAGCTCCAGTCAAGAGCCCAAAGCAAGGTGCCCCAGTACCAGAGAGCTAGGCGGGGATGGGGGGTGTCACATAATGTGTGGGAGATTGCAGGGTCTGTGCTCTTTTTCACATTCACTGCTGATGCCACCCAGACGTGCCATAGCCACACGGTGGTAGAGAGGCAAGCGGAGGGAGGGGGTGTTTGAAGTAAGCAGATGACTGTAGCCCCGAGAACAATCGAGAACAATCGGCCCCTTAGCCGATGTTTGATTCAAATGAGTCAAAGAAGGCTCCTGTGCTCGGTGCGCACTTCCTGCCTTCTGCCTTTGAAAGCCTATTTCTCTTCAAGTCTGACTGCTTAGAATTCAAGCCCTCCGCAACTAAGAAACTCCAAAAGAGGTAATGAACCATAAATTATTGCCGTTAGATATTTAATACTCAATCAGTATGTGCGCTCTCAAGCATATCCCACCGGCATTGCATTCATTCTGACAGTGTGGTGCTGGTTCAATTACTTTGCTCATTTACAATAAAAGATTAATGAAAAGGGGTATATTTTAGTTCAGAGATTAATTGCATCCCTTACTTTCCCTACACTAGAAATATTCAACCCATAATCCTGGTCGCTTTTGCATCAACAAGTACATGGGAAATTAATAGACTTTCTCCTGCTGGAAATCTCAAGGGGGTTTTCAGATAGGAATGTCCAGGGAAAACAAGATTGAAAAGTTGGCTTTGGGCTGGAAATGAATTCATTTTCCTGCTTCTTTAAATTTACTCTTTTGACATCCTGAATTTGCCAGGATGAAGATGTGTGGACTAGAATTATTTTAAATCTGCACCTTTTCGCTCAAGTATTTGCAAAGCAAATTCTTTTGGAGAGCTGATTCTACCAGACAGAGCCAGGTATGGCTATGCTTTGTCAGCGGGCCCAACATTTGGAGAGATGTTGTTGACTGCTAACTCTTCTCTCCAGGACACAAGTGTATACGAGTACATTTATTCTGAATCTTTTTCTGAACATAAAGTTGTTTACCACTGGGGAAATCTAGTTTAAAACTTCAAAGTGTCTCCCTGGTAAATACTTCTCAAGTTTCTGCAAACTCTGAGTGTGGTACTGTATTTTTCCAGTACATCAGAGACGACCAACATCTCTAGCAGATGGATAGCTGGAGTCGAAAGGAAAATGAGATTTATTGGGCTTAGAGATGTTTTTTTCAAACCTTATTTGACTTAATCCTTCCAATAATTTGGTTACATTACTGTCTCCCTCTCTCGCAACACTGAGGTTCAAAGAAGTCATGTTTCCTATGGCCACACAGGGAGCAAAAAGCTAACATGGAGTCAGACCGAGATTGCCTTTCTGTCCACATTCTCTTCTAGGGCCAATACACTAAATTTAAAAATACTACCCATGTCCAGGTGATCGATACCTCAACACTTTGCCTGCTTGTTGCCAAATGGTCACCATAACATTTTCTTGCCACAGATGTTTTAACGATGGAACAAAGACACTGATGAAAACTTACAGGGAAAGATAACCACGGTACTCAACAATGTGACTGGGTGGTGACTACACAAACTTGGCCCTTCAGTGCTGTGGAGGCTGGCCCATTGCCACGACAGCTGGAATGGACAGGTAAAGAGCTGCTGGTGTACTCTGCCACACTTTCTATTGTATCATACAACATTTTTTTTCTGCACACAGTTAGCCCATTGTTACAAGTGACACCTGCCTTTCCCATCTACCTGAATAGAGAACGTGTGTCCCCCATCTGGTTTCAATGAGACTTACCTCAAGTTCTGAGGAGGTATTTTGCAGACACTCCAAACTTTCCAGTGTGTCTAAAGAGAAAACAGGTGCATCAGAAACAAATTCACTACTGCTGAGAAAACACACCCCCATCACAAAGTTGAGCAAAGGAGACACCACAAGCAAAACCCAACCTCTTTGTCATAAAGCTTCCAACTTTCCAAACACTTTTGTAACTTAACTCATTGGATTTATTTTTCGTGGTACAAGTTAACACTGTGTCAGAAAGAACAGAGTTCATAGTAACACTGTGTCAGAAAGAACAGAGCTCATAGTTTTTACATGAAGGAGCAGGGTTTTTAGCTATTTTAAACTGGGTTTGTTGTTGCAATTTCCTGGTGAGCTCACTGGAGAAGATGGTTTTGTTTGAAGAGGGCAGTCCTGACACAGTGGCCACAGATCTCGTGTTTTGTTTTCATACTTGCTGAAGTTTTACGTGAGAAAGCCTGGTCACTTCCTAGAGAGTTTGTTGTTTACAAGTGAAAATTATACTTTTCCACATAGATGCCACTACTAGCTGGGATTCTTTACATGGTTGGCACCTATATAAATAATTTGTCATAATACAGCCCTGTGTATTGTCTGCTAGAACTCCATATCTAATAGCTATTAGATATAATAACTCACCTGTGAACTAACCCTGGGCAAGTCATTAAATCCTCTTAGGCCTTAATTTCTTCATTTATGAAATAATGGCATCTGGACACAGTGTGAGCCCACCAGCACTAGACATCTATTAGATGTTACACTGACTTTCCTCAGCTTTGCAGTGTTGTGGGGCATTTAGGGAAGTGAGCACGAGGGGGTCATCGGCACCAGCTAGAGACACACAGGGTATGTGCTAGGCAACATGAGGGGGTAAGAGTCAGGAAACAGATCCTCAATAAAAGGGAATCCCTATGTCTAGGAAAGATAGGAAAGGGACTGTGACCAGCAGAACTGGCAGAGAGACAAAGGAAGACATGTCCAGTGGATAATACCTACCAGTGTGTCAGACCTGTACAGAGGTGCTGGGCTACAGGGATTCATGAACTTTCTCTCAAAAGCAGCATGGAACCACTGCCAAAGGCCGAGGATTAGATCACATCCCAGTATAGTCAATATGGCCGCATTTTCATAAACTACCGTGTTCACATGAAAGACAAAAGCAGGAGGAGAGTATGGGAAATAGACTTCATGGTTAGGAACTAAAAACTCCAGCCGTTTCTATTTCGCTCTGATAGACTGTAGTAAACCTTCTGAAAACTGCATTAAATTACTTTCTTTGTTTGACTTCTAACAAACCCCTTTGTGATGCCTAATGGGAATGTTAAAAATTACCTGCATTTGGTCTGAAATTGTGTTCTAAGTCCTTGATAGTACAAAAAGAATATATAACTTGTACCTTCTCTTTCTAATCTGCAGACACTAAATTTTGCTTAATAGATACAGGAAAACAGTCTCATTCACAATCACCATCAAGAATTAAATGTCCTGGGATAAATTTAATCAATGAAGCAAAAGAAAACTGTATGGCACTGTTGAAAGAAATAGCAGACACAAAGAGATGGACAGGTATTTTATGCTCGTTAATTAGAAAAAAAATCTTCATTAAAATGGCTGTTACTAAAGCAATCTGCAGATTCACTCCCACCCCTTTAAAGTTCCTACATATCCCCCACACACTACAGACAAACACAGATCTACCTGGCCATCTCAGGTGTCCAAACCCGTGGGTGAGTTACCTGTATTTCAGCCACTTTCATCTTATCACATCCTTCCTGTTGACAGTCACGGTCTTTCCTTGTGAAATTCCCCGCATCCTCTTTCAAGCTCCCTGGTCCTCACAAGCCTGCGGTGGTTATTTCCGACTCTCATACTGAACTATGACTGGCACTGCAGTCTTGCACATCACATACCTGCGCTCCCTCCCCTTCTGCTTCCAGAGTGAGGAGGTTCGAGAACGCTCTGCAGCCTTCACTCTGAGCACTCATGGTCACATTCATTTAAAAAGAAAGAAGTTCCTTTACTTGGTGGAAATGCACCAGCAAACTGATTAACTATACAATTCTATGGTAAACTTAGGGGAAAATAGTGACGCTGTAATGTAGGAAAACTCAAAATACTTTGACATTAAGGAACATTAAGTTGACCCCACTGAAAAGTCAATGCAAATTTTTGCAGCATTTTTAAAAGGTTGAAATAGCATTTACAAAGTATCTCACCCCAGTCCCTGACACACGACAGGGCCGCTACCCGATGAGTGAAGACGTAACTAGGGACAATGGCCAGATAAGCACAAATCGACATTCTTACCTCTCTGAGAGGAACAAGGATACTTTTATCCAAGCACATCTTCAAACTGGAAAATAAAAAGATAAAAAATTGAGGAGTGAAACCAGAGATGCACTCTTTTCAAAAAATGTTTAATGGTTCTCTAGCTCATAAAAGGAGAAGAATAGTTCATATAGACTTCAATTTGCTAAAGTCTCCAGAATCTTGCCATAAATGAGGGGAAAAAAAAACAACTCAGAAGTGTGATAATTCGAAAAGCCTGCCCACCCAGTGTTGCTCTATGACAAGTTCAAATATCCTACTCAGTGCCTGTTAAGCTCAGCTCTGACATTTGTCCTCTAATCCTCCTCTGATTGTTCGTACATAATGTAAAAGTGAATCCAGGTCTGAGTTACAGTTAACAATATTTTAATGTCATCCAGCATTTTAGTATGCTGTGGTCTCTAGGAGAAAATGAACCTTCATTATAATATAAATGTCTTTTATATACAGTTTCCACCGGATTTTGGACGACTATTTCAATACATTTATTTCAAGCATAATCAAATTCTAAGAAAATTGGTTAGTATAGTGAGCCATAGCTGAGTTATCCATTCCATTGAATTTTAATTCATTGTCCTAAGTAAACCTGAAATTGGCGATATGATTAGAGTGCAAAGTCAACCACTGAACGGAACATATATAATTTGGAATTATTCTGACCACATTGTTCACTGTCTCTAACAAACCCGGGACAAAGCAGTTACCAGAATTTTTTACTTTTATAAGCCTAAAATTATTAAGCAGACGGTCATAAGACTTAAGATTATTAAGCAGACCGGCCTTCTTCACTTTAGTCGTATGATCAGATAAATACTAAAAATAATGATGTTGCAGTCAATGGCAATGTGGCCATGTATTTTGCACTTAATATTTTACTACAGACACATCTGTGTGTTCTGCTAGTACAGAAGCCCACAAAGGAAACTTAAGCAAACATGTTCACCTTCATCTCTCAGGGAAAAAGATGTAATTATGACTTACCTAACATCTCCAAAGGGATCGTTCAACCAGGTGAAGCGTCATCTCCAGCAGTGGGAAAACACCAGTGTTCTTGTGAGAAGCATTACCATCCAACTGTTCTGATTTGACAGTGATGCTCCTTGTAAATAATCACACTTGATGGAGAGTTATCACTGGAAATGAAAGAAAGCCCACAGCCTATCACTGAGTGAAATGATTTTAATTTCAACTGCATAAGTACTCGATCTCCAGAATATTAAGGCAGGGTGATGAAAGTAAAACGGTAACAGGCTGGTGGGGGGAATCATATCAAATAACAAGTGTTTCCTGCAACAGGAACAAGCACGATTTAAGTTAGGAAATGTGATGTGACTTTTTCACACACCATTCAAGATGTGACCTGTTAAAGCCCACACTGACTTCTGCGTGCACAATGGGATTCATATTTAGTGCATTCACCTCAACTCTTTGTAGATGGAAACAATGCACTGCAATGTGTTTCAGACCAGCCAAGCCCAGAGCGCTGTAACTAGAGGACTAATGATGTCTTGACGTTAGGAAGTTGGGCTGACTGGTTCCATTCAGGCCAGTGAGAACCAAAGCTTTGACACTTTCCTCACAGGTATACTGCAGGGCCGTGGGGGAAAGGAGAGATGCCGTGATGTGAGCCGTGATGTGAGCAGAAGAGAAAAATCAAATGTTTTTAAATGTTTTCCTCTGACACGTAAGAAAAAGTTTTAACAGGCTGTATCTTCTCACTTATTGTAGGACATTAGAGAAAAGGAAAATGATGAATTCTGACGGTACAGACAGTTATGAAGAGAAACCCCAATACCTGCCTGACTACCTGTAAACATGAAGAGCGTATGTAAGAGCAAGACAAATTTTTGTTAAATGGAATAGCAAATAAAATAGAGTACTGTTGTCAAAGATGCGTGTTATTCACTCCTAATTTCCATGAGCGCATTTTTCACCGTTCTCCCCAAAATGGCCTTTCTGGCTTCTCTTGTGGGATGGACAAAGAAGGTCTGTCCATCTGAACTTGCAAATCTCACATTATACTGTGTTTGCACAGGTCCTTCTAAGCCATTATGTCTCTTTCAATTTTTCTTTACCTTTCCATCTGCAGTGATAACAGTATCTCTAAAATAGGGATTACTTCGTGCATAGGAGGCAAAAGAATTTAGCATGAAATAAGTATTTGTTACAGATTGCTAAGATCTTTAATTCTCCATGACTCCAGCAAAGCTAACTATTATAGTAACTAGGCAGCTAAATACATGAATATGTAAATATCTCAGTTAGCATGTTGGTGATTTTTTAAATGTCACCCTTGATTATCTGTAAGCTTACTCTCTCAAATAATCTTAGATTACACTATGGAAATTTCTGGCTAGTTCCTTTTCCCCACATCCCCATATCATGAAATAGCCTTTGCAAATCTTAGCACTTACAGAGAAGTTAAAGAGCCTCAAAATAAAATTGTAGTGATAGAACCAGGTTGTTTTCTAATAGCACACTAAAAATATGTACTACTTGGTTTATTTCAAGTTGAATGTAAAGTCATACTGAGATATGTGTGCAAAAGTAGTGACTCCCGTTAACACAATTTGCCTAAAATAAAATCAAGTTCATGAACATATTTACAGAGAGTAGAGGATTGACACAGGGGTTGAAATATCAGGGCAGACTCAAGTGTCTCCCCATTATGCAAACATGTGTGTGTACCCCCTTGGGCAAGGTATTCAGAGGATGAATCGTGTAGCATCTAAGATGGGCTTTTCATATACAGACTAGCCACATACTTAAGGTTCCAGGTATTTTTTGATCATTTTGAAAAATTTAGTTCATTATAGTGTATTTATTGTTCATGGGAAAGTGGAACACCCCACTATTGCTCAGTGTGCTTATCTCTTAAATGCCTAAATATAGGCAATATTTCTTCCACATCTTAACCAAAATGCAATACCAAGCAAAAATCCCAAGAGATCCCATAATAAAAATTTAGAAAACGCTTGCTTCAATTCTATGAAGATTCATGACTGAATTCATGAATATTGACTGATTCATGAAGATTCAGTCAAAGATGGTGTTAGAGGATGTTACTGCCTTTGCTCCTGGGAGAATGATCTGAAAGTTAAGCTCCCTGGTACTGCACCCAGAAGGTCCTGACTTGGGGTGAAACTGGAAATCAGGTTGGAACAAATGTTACATGGACTATGCTTAAAAACAGAAGTTTATTAGTGTTATGCTTAGGGTCTGTATTAGGGAATTTAGGAGGTGAGCACACTGATTGATAGTGAGATGTTCCACTTCCCCAATTCCCGACAAGGCTACACCAGAAAAGACATGGAGTCATTCATGTTTCCTTAAACGAGAGGTGAGTGGAGCAAAGCCTAGAAGTTGCAATCATGGGAAGGGGGCCTCCTTACAAAACATCTGGCCAGTGGCCCTAGACAGGGAAAATCTCTGCAGCGTGGAAGCAATTCCATTGAATGAGGGGAGACAAGTGAAAAGAAGCTGAGTCACCAGTGAAAGGAATAGGACAGTTCCTGTCCTGCAGGAACTGTCAGACTTGGTGGGAAGCCGAATCCTCCCAACTCCCATCTCTCAGGCCCGGCGCTAATATTATGGGACTCACAGTCTACAGAGAGCCAGGTCTGGAACCCTAGAGCAGAGGGATGGTGGTGGTGCCACAGACATGAGCCAGTCCCCTCGAGGCCCCTTCCCTACCCCCTAAACGGAAGCTGCAAGACTAGGTCCATAGATCTACAGAAACTTGCTTAAAATCATATAAAGCTGGCCCTCCCTGGTGGCGCAGCGGGTTAAAACACTGCACTAAGAAGCTTAAGACACTTCAGCATGAGTTCGATCCCACCTGCCCCGGAGGTGACCACATGGCGTGGCAGACCTCCCCTGACCCACCCGCTGCTCCCCTCAGCAGTGTACTTTATCTGCCTGTTCTGATCCTCACTCTGTCTCTGGTGAATCCTCTCACCCTCCGCATCTCTGGCCTGTACCCCAGTTCTGTATGAATAAATAAATATTAAAAAAAAATCATATACAGCTGGGAAAAGCTAAAAAAACAAAACACAGTGTCACCTGCTGGGGAAAAAGTAGCACCGCAAATCTGCTACCATTAGAGTCCCTAAAAGAAACAGGCAGAGGAAAAGCAGCAGAATGGGCAGACAGAAAAATACAATAACTCAAGGGACTGTGTTATCACAGTGAGGGGGTAACTTTCCAGAAACCAGCCACTGAAACAGGCAAGCGTCTATCCTCTTATCAGATACAGGGTTCAAAACAACCATGATAAAAAAAAAAAAAAAACTTACCTACTGAAAGTAAACTGGACCAAGAAAGTCAAAATAGATTATAAGCAGGGAAACAGTAATCAAAAGTCTTCTAAAAAAGCAAAACTCAGTGACCAGATGGTTTCATAAGTGAGTTCTACTTATCTGAAAATATGAACTCATACATCTCCTCAATCTCTTCCCCAAAACTGAGGAAGTGGGAATTCCCCATCACATTTCATGAAGCTGGTATTAAACATTATCCTGATACCAAAACCAAAGAATTCACCAAAACATTACCTATTTATTTGATGAACATGAGGCAAAAATCCTCAAGAGAATCTTAGCAAACCAAATTCAACAATCCCACATCATGACCAAGTGGGATGTATTCCTGAGATGCAAACAATTAAGTAAGTGTAATTCAACTACATGAAAGATTAAGTCATGGTTATACTGATGGAAGCAGAAAAAAGTGACATTAGTGAGCCTCCACTTGAGATTAAAAAAAAAAAAAAGACCTAAAAAATGGGGGTAGAAGAAACATGTAAACACAATAAAAGCCATGTGACCAACCCAAAGCTACTACTCTAAATGATGAAAAACTGAAAGCTTTTCCATTAAGTACATGACAAAATGTCCATTCTCACCACTACCATTCAACATAGTATTGGAATTCTTAGCTAGATTAATTAGACAGGTGAAGGAAGAGTAATCTAAAACTGGGAAAGAAGTAAAATAAGTCACTTTAAATGACATAATACACATAGAAAACCCTAGGAAATCAATGGAAAATTATTAAAAGTAATACATCATTTCAGTAAAGTGGCAAGAAATAAAAAAAATCAATTGTATTCCTATATGCAAACAAGCAGCTAGAAGAAAAACAATCAAGAAAACAACCCCTTACAATCACATCAAAAATAAATATTATAGCTAGAAATAAAGTAGAGGGATATCTATAATGAAAATTAATGCATTGTTTTTTTAAATGCAGATACACAAAGAGATGATAAGCTACTCTATGCTCATGAATTATAAGAATTAACATTATTCAAGTGATCATCTTACCCAAAGCAATATATAGCTTCAAAGCAATTCCTACCACTGCTTCAATAACATTTTCAGCAAATAGTACAAACATTGCTGAAATGTATATGTAACCACAAAAGACCCCATGTAGCTAAAACCAAAGCTATCCAAAAAAAAAGGATGCACATAGTTATCACACTTCCAGACTTCAAATTATACTATGAAACTATGGTAATTAAGACAGTATGGTGCTAGAATAAAAATAAACACATAAGCCAGTGGAATAGAATTGAAAGCCAAGAAGTATTCTCACTTCTATATGGACAGTCCATCTATAACAATGGAGCCAGACAGCACACTATCACACACTATATACTAATGTTATTATGAACATTTTATAAATCTCCTTTTATAATTTTCACGGAACTGTAAATCAAAACATTTTTTTAAAAGACCTGATATCAGAGCCTTTTTCTACATGTAGCCTTATGCTTTTTAAGTTATTATAAACAGTAACTTGTCTTTTATAGACTTGTTAAATAATCCTTGTCATGAATCTATGCTCATCAAGCAACCTTTAGATCACCAAATCCAAGTTTGCCAACCTGTAAAATATGGACAGTAAAACCTGCTTTTAAAAAGTAGTTATGAGCAAAGATGGGTCAAACACTACACGACACACACTTCAGCGACATCTTTAAAGACAGAGCACCCAACGCCACAATAGTGAAGGCAAAGATAAATAGATGGGACTACAT